GACAGATTTTCAACCACTAACAGACCAAGAATGTCCTTTTTCTTAAGTCTGCTTGCAAAGACCACTTCATTCTCTGCAGGATACATTAATTTCCTTAACAAAGCAAAAGCTATTCTTCTTTTTTTTTTTTTTTTCAAAAAACAACAACAAATTTCATTTACCTTTGAAAAACACGAACAAAAATACTTGAGTGAATTTAGTTAAAAGCATAGGATTCAGTCTAACAGTGATAGAAAACCAAGTGCAATCTTGGCAGAAATCCTCAGAAGGAATGAAACAGAGCTCAACCTCCTCTTAAGAGGCTACATCTCCCAAACTGAAGCAGAAACACATGCTCACACTGTTACTCAGAGCTACATTTGCTCATTCTTGCTTTGTGAATCAGGAACTAAGGAAACCTTTAATATAATTCTCTCCAAGCTGGGAATTCAGCTATCCCTGTGAAAACTTATTGCCTACATTTTAAATTCCTTGTTACAGGGAAAGAAATCTAACCCCATTTTTTGCACAGCTTATTTCCCAACATTTTAGTGAACCTTTGCGACACTGACATTCTTTGCTATTCCTGTAAAAGAGCAGGATTCCAACTTCAGCTTTATTCCCCTTCTTCTGCTCTATAATGGACCTCACATTTGTCATTGCTAAGGCCTTCAAACACAAAGCCTGAATAAAACTATCACAAGTTGGCTTCTGTGAACCAGTTTTAAGATGCGTGGATTGCATACTGCAGGAAGGTACAATCTTTGAGGGCCACAAAATCAACACATCACATTTAGTCTGTATCTCCCAAGAACATGAAAGCAAATGAAGGAAAAAAAAAATGTTTTATTTTCTGGAGGTATTTCTCTGGCTCTAGTACACCAGCTAATTCCATGACTCTCGCCTGTATTTTCTCTAAGAAATGCCATCTAAAGCCTGGAGAAATTCTACATCTTTGAAGGCAGCCAGAATTATCAAGTTCTACTGAGGTTACTCATGGGGGTGGGTGGAGGAATGGCCAGAAGTAATCAATGGCCTAAAACCAAGAAATTTTCATATGATTCTTGGCTATCCAGCCAATCAGAACAGTAGGATATTTATTTTTGGTAATGTGCATGTGAAATGGGCAGAAAATTAATAATTAACAAGGTGGTAGAGGCTTACAGACAACAGGAAGTTATTCCTCTCTACCTAGTTAAATGGACTTTGAAAAAGTTACCAGCAAGACAAAAGCAGCTGTGGAATAACAAAGAACACCTCCCTTGCTATTCAATTCCTTGTAGGGTCAGTGCTCAGGGGGTGCAGCTCAAGGAAAGAGAACTGACATTCATTTGAGATACAGGTGTGTTAAAGAGGTTGTCCTTAATTCCCAATGTTTCAAGACCACTTGCTTCAGTTTCTCTTACAACATGGTAGTTTAACTCTTTGGTTTGGTAAAACACCACCCACCAGTGATTATTAATAGCTTTCTGCACCACCACGTTGAGTTATCTAAAAGATTAACAAAATGAATGAACAAAAAAATGAAATTCCAGCTTTGCACTGTTTTAAAGCACTAAGAAATGAAAGCATAAGAGAGAAAATTATGGCTGCATTAGGGGAAAACATGGTCAAAAGCTCAGCAAAATACATGTAAGACTTGACCTTTAGCTAGGTCAGTGCACAATTAGATTTCATGAACTGAAAAATTCAGATCAAAAGTAATTTTAAATTAAATACCAACAGCAAAGGGCTTATGAGAAGTCCATCTCTACATTACGTTTTAATGTAGTGTTGAGGCTGTATAAAACCATCAGTCTTCAGTTTATTTTTTCCATGTTCAACTTCATTCACACCATGTTAACCTTTCTTCACAGACAGCACTCTTTCTGCTGGAAACTACAGCAGAATCTATCATTGTAATGGTAAACTGACACACACAAACCCTATTTGTGGAATAATTTCATATGATGCTACACAAAATTTTATCATCCTTGTTTCACAGAATCACCAAATCATAAAGGCTGGAAAAGATATCCAAGATCATCAAGTCTAAAAGTCCTTGAAAATCTCCACCTTGTCAATCAGACCATGGCACTAAGAGTCACACCCAGTCATTTTGTGAACACCTTCAGGGATGGTGATCCCATCCCTGGAGTTGTCCATTCCAGCATTTAACAACTCTTTCCATGAAGAAATTCCCCCTGAACTTCCCATGGCACAATTTCAAGTGCAGCAGCAGAAATAAAACAACAAAACTAATGAAAGAGAAGAAACAGCCATCCGGGATTTGATCAAACAGAACATTACACACGACCCAATACTAATTCCTCAGAAATACACTCAACACTTGAGTTATACTCCAACCTGTAAAAATAAAGAAAGCAGAGTATTTTAGATGATGTTCTAAAATGACAAATATTTTGTTAAAGGTATAGAAAGATTAACACCATTTGAGTGAATACTAAATAACTCATGAATGAAATTAATTAAAAATGTATCCAAGTTCTAGCTTACTTTTAAAGCATTCTCAGAAGGAAAAAAAAAACCGTTCAGTAACTCTGCCAGGTGATTTACAAAGGATGAACACCTACAAACACTAGTTACAGAGGAAAACAAATATATCAACCCACTGGGCAGGCTGCTGCAGAAGATTCAACCCAGTAACCTCTGTTTTATCATATTGAGAACCTGTATCATGCAGGATGAATACTAAAAGCAGAGACAAAAATTCATATCAGCACTGCAGAACAAGGATTTACCAAGCTACACATAAAGATCAAAGGTTGATCTATTTGGACTTTTAACAAACACATAATACTTTTAAACTATACATAATGTCTGATGTTACTTCAAAGCATGCAAACAACTTTCCATAACAAGAGAGCAAAAGAAAAAATTTGAACCTCAGTACATTTTCCAAGAGTCCAGCAGAACAATTAAATCCAGAGTTATGGATAAACAAACAGGCACCTACTAAAATATTTGTTTTTTCTAAAGAGTTCCTACAGCCTACACATCATACTTCCAAGGTCCCTACAACAAACTTCAAATATGCAGAAACCTAAAAATAAATAAAAATCAAACCTATAAATACACTATGTGCAGCAGAAAGAGAGCTGAAGAGAGAGACTGCACCCAAACCTTGAATTCTTAGAAAAACAAGGAAATTGTGAACCAAAATTTCCAAAACATTAGACAGTTCCTGCAAATCTGGCTGGGACACATTCCAAGCAACAAATCTAGTAAAATTTTAAACCTTGACCACTTACCAAGGTATATCAGCATGTCATAAGCAGTAAATCCCATTCTATACTTGCAGCATTCCAGATAAAAGACAACCTCTATATTCTCATATAAACTGAGGGAGAAACAACTTTTCTTCCCTGCCCCCGAGAATAACTCGGGGGGGAACACCAAATTAATTCAGTATAAACACAGGAGAAACATGCAAAGTCTTTGGGTAGCAATAATATCTCCTTTCAGCATGCCTTGTACTAATCAGTAAACGATGCCAATTAGACTTGACTTGGAAGCTTACATTTTATCTATTTTTCAAGCTCAATTTAGTTCTATTTCTCACTGTCCTTGATAACCATTCTCATTAGAAATTGTCTTTAAATTTCCTCATGTCCCATATATAGCCAAATTAGGGTTCACAAACTTAATTGACGCTGATAAAACAGATGAAATACAATCACACAATCACCTGCCTTTGAAAACAGAGTGCATGCAGATCTAAATCCAGAAACTTGTCTGCTAGTCTATAGAACTTATTCCACAACTTTCCCTCATCACAAATTCAGTATCATTAGCTCCTTATGCAACTCGTTTCAGAATCCATTAATGCATTACATCAGTTTTAATTAAAATTCTGCCTGTGGAAAGATTCAGGATCCACACCTTCACAAGGAAAGTTCACTCAAGTGTATCACAAAATTTTCCACTTTCTAAGCTTCAAATGGGCAGCAGAAACTACTGAGTCCTCAATACATATTCTAGGTCAGAGAAGAACATAAGCTAAATATAAAATATTAAATAATATGTCCAAAGCAAAGAAAATTTGGACAACAGTCTCTAGATGTAAATAGCTGTTCTTAATCTCAAGCACTAGTTCTTAAGCTCTTGCACTAATTTCATTTGCACTTGCTCTGTCAGGCAAATTGGTGTTTTAGTGCCCACGCTGCTGCCGAGTTTCCAAGTGAACAGATGTTTCTCCTGACTTCCCTTGCTGTGTGTAGGTTGTACACGACCTCCCTGCAAGTTTTCACCCTCCTCAGCAGGGTCTTTGTGAGGAAGACTGGCCCTGCCTTGTTTTCCTGACAGAGTCACATGAGAGCACTGCTGGGATCTAAAGGGCCAGATGGGCTTGACACCAGGCCAGATTTTCTTTCACTTGTACTAATCCAATCATCCCAAATCCAGTCCCAAAAATGCATTTGCAAGTGATGTGGGCAGCTGGTGGGGGTGGGCTTGGGATAAAATTTAGGTTTTCTCAAAGTAAAGCACAGTGTTTTAATGTGACATTATATTTATGTAAAAAGTTGGAGTATCCCCACATGAAAATACATTAGAAATACACATAGGCAGAATCCTTTGTTTATATGGAAATCAAATGACTTCAAAACACTGTTTTCAAACACTAGAGGCATAAAAATCCAACACAAAGGTGGCATGCACTCATGACTCTTTAGAGCAGCAGCAGGTGTCACTTCCCTCTTCAGTAGGTCTAGTCTTCACTTGTCAGATACCACTTTGTCAAAATGAATAAATAACGAAATATTGCAAAGCAATATTTCAGAGGCAATAGGCCCAAACATACCTGCTTTTCTTCCATATTTTCTTATTCTTGCTTTTAAATGTCATACAATCCTGCTGAGTTCTTAACACAGATGTAAAACAAATGCATGCTATCCTTTTCATCCAAAAATTAGAGCACAAAAAGAAAGCACTTCAATTCTTGAATTATATTTCTAAAACAAGCTCCATGACTATTTTTAACAAAAATATTATTTTAAACAAATAAATGAGTTTTTAATTACCTCTCTAAGATGCATGTTTTCCTTCTCCTTCTGATCTAAAATCACTTCTAAATGATTAACCTGAGATTCAGCCTCTGCCATCCTTCGAGTTCTCTCATTGTCATCTTCCATTCCTTTAGAAGGCAAACCTTTACTTTGCAACATCTCTAGAAGCTTTTTTATTGATTCATCTCTTGCATTTAGTGTTTGCTTTTGTGTTTCAATCCTAAGCTCCATTTCTTCCAGAGTTTTCCTCAACAGGAAGAGCTCTTTAGCTTGTCTATCATGTTCTGCCTGAAGTCTTCGAAAATTCTCCTCTGTGAGCTCAATGGTAAAATGCTCAGCCCCTCTGTTCCCACTTTCTTGCTGGAGGAGATGGTTAAGGTCTCTCTGAGTTCTGAGCTCATCTTGAAGTGCCTGGATTGTCATTTGCAGATGCTGCAATAAAGAAGAAGAAAGAGAAAAAAATAAGCTTAGGATCTAAATGTAGAATTAGTATTTGATTAAAATTTTGTTGAAGGCTGTTACAAAAAGTGATTAGAATTAGTAATGAAAGTATACCAAATGACCTTATAAAATATCAAATGCAGGTGACAATATTTGTAATGATATTTTTCAAGTGCTTCTAGAAAGAAAAAAGAAGACAACATACACAGACACAAAATAATGTCAGCTACAGATAAAATTAATAGCAACAAATGCAAACACTAGGCAGTGACATCCATCAGAACAATCAATGTGTACCTACAAAGCTCAAAGACTCAGTATTCCATGTTTTCTAAATTACTTCATAGACTACAGATAAATCTGCTCTTCATGTTGCTTAACAGTACTGCTGTTTATAAAGTCAATCAAAGCCCTCACTAGAACCAAAGGGGACTTTTGGGAGGGGCTGAGTTGAGGCTGGTTGGTTTCATTTTTTCATTTTGGAAGCTAAAGCTATGAACAAGTTTAGTAAACAGGATTACTGTATCTCTAAAAAGCAAACAAAAAACCCCACAATAAGCAATACTGAATTTTGAAAAATAAATTTACTGCAAATAGTGGACAAACCTTTGTTCTTCTGGCATCCAAAAACTGAACAGCATGGTAAATGAAAAAAATGAAGCAAATCAACATAAATAAAGGTCAGATGCAAGCAAAGGAGATTCAACAGAAAAAACTGAATTCAACAAAAAGTATCTTAACAGAAAAAAAATTTTTATTGAGTTACACAGAAAGGCAACAACAAATTCACAGTACTCAAATATATTAACTTATAGACAGACTTTACTCAATAGATGTGACAAAGAAAAATATATTTTAAATAATCAGTCTCATGGTAAATTACAACATTTCCAGACATTGCTGTTCTTTTACATTTTAGGGTTGTCAGAACACTGTCCTAAAATATTTATACTGCAACTGAGTACAGGGATCTGTCACTGTTCCAGAGGTATGTCTTGCACTCCTTACTCAACACAGATCAAAATCAAAATGGATTTTTCCATGCTAAGGTTGAATACAGATAATCAGCCTGAGTTGCTATGGTTTATGGGGTTCATTTCAGATTATATCTTTATCTGACAATTTGTTTTTCTTCTTATTTTTTCCCCTCTATTCATTGCCTACTGAGCTTTTAGAAGTATAAACTCCTGAACAGGCTCACAGTCTGTACCAGAAGCCATTTAACTGTAGGAATTTGGGGACTTTAATGCATGTCATCAGACCTATTAGGTTTAATTGATGTTCTGCAACTCCACATTCTAAAAGCAAGAACAACAACAGAAACCACACCAAAAAAAACCCAAACAGCGACAACATAGACACCAAACTAACAACAAAACTTCATTTCATTTGATACCACCTTCATGTTTTACACAAGTATATGCAAATCTGTCAGGTTTTAGCAATTATTTAAACTAAATGAAAAATTCAAAACCTTGAGAAACCAAGCTTTTGAAATAATGTCTTTTATCAGTTATTTCAAACAGAAAATAAGTATTGACGGTGGAAGAATTCAGTTAGAGGCTTTGAATCTGTTCTATCATTAAATAAACACTACCTTAATGTATGTCCAGATCTTAATTCTCCTAGTACCTGCATCTTATTAGGCACAGACTCAGTGGAGAGCATACACATGTAGGCTGCTAATTGAGAGCCATGTTTTATTGAAAAACTCTAGTAAATTTAAAACTCCTTTAGATGTAGAAACTTCCTCACCCTGAATCTACTAATATGCCAACCGTTTGTTACCCCAAGACTGACTGGATTCCAAAATTATTTCACTGTTCTACTTCTCACACCTGACCAAGAACCTTTTCTGTACTACTATGCTACAACTAAGCAACAGCAATACTCAGTAACTACCAGCACCCAAGAAATAGACAATTTTTTCCCTATTCTGAATAATGATTTAAGATACAACCCCCTAATGTTAAATCAGATAATATTTATTACTTCATGCTACAATCTATTTACAAATGAATGTTTTTCCAAAGTCAAGTAGTCTCTATCTATCAAATGTCAATATGTCTATAAAGATCTAGCTGAGCAAAAGAAAACTAATTCTAAAATATCATGTTTTAACCCACAGATAAAAGTAAACTTGACATACACATTGCTAACACACAAACCTTCTGAATGCAAGCTGTAGAAACCAAAAGTTGTTGGATCAACATAAAAATAATTAGAAATCCGAACTCAAACAGCAATTCTAGTTAAGATAAATGAGACAGGTTCCTTTTCTGCCCCCAGCAGCCTGTGCATGCTGTCCTTAGGCTCTACCCAGACCCACGTTTGTCACTAGGTGTGACAGTAGCTCTGGCTGCTTCTCTGGAATTCTGTTGAAACTAACAGCCTCAACTGTGGCAGACTACTGCTACTCTGACATAAAAGAATCCATTTGGGTACACCTTCAAGACTTAGAACACGGTGGACCAGATTTAGACTTCTGCTGGCACAGATTTTTGTATCTGCAGCTTGCTAAGCAAAGTAAAGAACAAATGTTGTGAGGGTGGAAAGAAATTGTATAATTAACTGCAGGGGAAGGAAGGTAGGAGTGCTGTGAATATCTGTCACATGGCACTCCTTACACACGCAGAACTTTACAGGATTTTTTTTAAAACTCCATACAAGATCTATCAGATTTTTTTATAATTTCTATTAAAAATGGACCAGTTGACCAGAAATATTTCCATGCCAAGTTCTTGACAGTTTATAAGTAGTTCTCTCTAGTTTTGCAATCCTTCTCCACAGCCCAGCTCCAAGAAGCAATCCATGGAACTGTGAATTGCCCCATAAACTGAAACAGAACTATAAAAGGAAGATGAACTAATGGATTTTCCCAGACTTCAATTCATGTTCCACACAAGGGAGTTCCTCTAGTCTTTGCCCACCAACTATACCCAAAAAAATTGCCTGAGAACTCTCCTGCCACAGTGTGCTTTGGGCCACATAAACACACTGAGAGCATCCCAAAGCCATGGACTGCTGAACAGTGGACGGGAATGAATTCACAAGGAGACTCACTGATTTCAAATTGCTGGTCCACCTACAGAAGCACACAGCTTCTCATGCTTTGCACCACCAAAAGCAAAGAACACATTCAAGAACCCAGTACCCTGGATTTTAGCTCCTCCCGTTTCTTTCCCACTCCAGTAAATAGAGAATTGACAGGGCTGAATCAGCTGACATAATCTAGTCTCTTGGCAGTGGCAAATATAAAATGATACAGAAGACTGTGCAAAAAAATTCTCCTGTGCAATTGTATGCTAAGGAAAGCTACAGCTATAACTGAACAATACACCAGGACAAATATAACAGCAAATTATACTGTCAACCTTACTCTCATTCTCTAAAATCAAGCTTCCTTATTTATTCCACAATCTATCACTGTTCCATTTTAATTCTTCACAGTATGAGGCTCTATCATCATCGAAAGGAAACAGACTATTTAAAGCTTTCTTATGAACTGCATCTAAATCAATTTGTATGTTAAATTTATGCTGAAGTAAGTATGAGCATTAGACTTGCAAATATTTGTAACTAAGAACTGTTAAAGAAAAACATGCAAATCCTAATTTTCTTCTGTAAAGAAAAAAAAGAAAGGGAATTGAAGATACTTTCTTCATTACCATAAATTAAGAAATTGATTCTCTCATGCATTTCCTCAACTGCCTATTACAATTCATAATTCTGGTATCCAAAAACACCACTGAAAATCAATTGACTAGCATTTTGCTTGAGTAAGACAGAACTGAGAGAAAGAGTTGGAAGGAGAAGACAGATCTAATTTGTGAGGAATCACAAGAGATTCTGACCACACACGATGAATCTTCAGCGTTAAAAATTCTGAGCGTGAGATGGGAGAGAGCTTTGGTTTAACACTGTTTGCTGATATAACCACAGGTTTGAAAAGGGAGAATTCTTGTCTTTCCTTACCTCACCCAAAGCCCCACTGGTAACAAATAGATACAAGATGAAAAGAAGAACAAAAAGCACAGGAGCCCATCACTCCTAGCTCTCTGTTTCTCATGAAATAGATTTCCAGTTATCTCCTCAGCCTTTTATCTAGAGGGAACAATTCTGCTAGAAGGTTTCAATTCTGCTGATGCACTGCCTGGTACTTTCTGGAAGCCTTTGTTTTCAAGATTGCCTTCTCTGCTGTTAAAGCTTTCTGATGAAGAAAGATTTAACACAATAAGTATACCCCTAAAGTAATAATCACAAGCTTTCAGAAGGCAACAGTACATTATCAAGGGTTTTCAATTGGTTCTATTTAGACAAGGTATTTGCAGACATACACAAAGCTCTCAAAACATTGTGGAAAAAATTCTTAAAACTGAATAAGAGTCGTTCACTAACAAAATACTGCACTGTGTATTTAGTACAGACTGAAATTTTGTTTCTGTTTTACTTCCAAAAGAAAAAAAAACTGGAGGAAATTTAAAAAAAAAATAATTTCTCCCCGATCTCTAAGTTCAAGTCTCCACACACAAAGCAGATTTTTTTTTGCCAGCATAGAGGTGTTCAATATCAGGTGAAATTTTGAATTTTATGAAATAGCATTATATTCCTCATGTTATAATTAGTGGGGTATTATGTATTCAATGCCCAGTACAGAAACACCCATATCCAGATTAAGTAAGCAGCAAGTCACAAACTGGTAACTAAGGTGACTGAAACACTATTAAAATATCATTTGTCTCAGCCTCACCAAGCTACAGGATTTTAGTTCATTTTCATTACATAAATTTGGTTACATATTTGTTATCAACACGGAAACTGATTAATCAAATGTTGGGAGAAGCTAAGAGCATGTTTTTGTTTTGTGAGGATATTTTAGGGGTTTTTAAAGAAAAAGAAAATGCAGAGCTCCCCTGAAAGTGAAATCACATGTGTCCCCAGTGGACCAGCAACAGACTGAGCACTGCCCTGTCAGATGCCAGAATAGATTAGTGAGGTATTGCAGTGCAGTCTTGTCTCTCAGAAAACCCCAGGGACCACATAATTGTTTGGAGTTTTTTTAAACAGTAGTAGAATGCCATAGGATCAGCATTCCTCACTGCTGGTTTGGGGCCTGAGGATAAATTAGGTTTAGTGATGATCACAGTGGGCCAAGAAATTAAAACAAAATGCACATAATGGGAGTATTAAGTTTAGAAGCAGGATTGCATGTGAATCAAGATCTGCATTTGTCCTAGGGAACTGAGCTCTATTCCTGCTTCCATGGTCATGTAAGACTAAAATGTTCCTGTTCAAAACCCTGTGAGCATTTGCCTCCTTACTATCATATCCATCATTATGCACTGTAACACCAGTGTGAACCACCGTGCTAACTAATTATACTTAACGAAGAACAGAAAATTAAGAATTTTTTGTTTCTGATTGCCAGCTTTAAAAGAAAACAACTGATAAGCAAAATAAATATTTGGCAAGTACTTTCCTCTTTCTTTTTGGACAGTAGAATGCATTGTGCAGCCTGCTGGTTCAGCCAAAATAATAGCATAGCAAAAACCTTGGATGCTAAACAGGCCTATTACTTTCTTATTTCTCAAAAACTGAGGTCAGGGTACTTTAAAGGAATTTTTTTCAGG